ATAAAAAATAAAATTTCATTAAAAATTGTTGCTGTAAAATTTCATTAAAAATTTAATAAAAACGTTTATTTTTCTTCACTTACAATTTTCTTATATAAACATGATTTTAAAAAATTAATATTGCTAGCAGATAGAGCTCCTTATGAGCTACAAGAATACATATAATAAGTGCCTTTTCCACTCAATATTTGTTTAAAATATAACCTCAAGGCTATGTCCACTATAGTGGACATAGCCTTGAGTTTTAAATTGTTGAGCGGTTAAATTGTTTTGAATAGATATATCTCGTCCCTTTGACTTGCATTGTGTTGAACAAAGATATTTTGTGAATTTTCAACACAGAATATGTCGCTCTCGTCTGTGCGAATATATATATAGATGTGTTTCGAATGCTTTTGGTTGTTTGAGTGGTTTGGAATAAAAATGATGATATTTAAGAGAGATTTGCACAGTTTACTTGTATAATGGATCGTTGTTGTTCTTGCGGAGCTCGTTTATTTTGAGCGTCTAGTTTTCCGCGATTAGCATCACCGGTATTTCGTATGTTTATGTCGATACGTAAACTGACCATGTATTGTCAGCGAAAGCTGATCAGACAGGATGTTAAAAAATGCTCGGTTTTCTACCTAAACTCGTTTTAGCTCCGGGTTTTGGACACGAGCATAAACATTACAAAAGCGATAGGGCACAGTTACCTAAACATCATTCAATATAGCAAACTGTCGAAAACAACTCGAAAATTATACACGATCGATACAAGAACTTATTTCAGTGGTCTGCTTCATTTCCATTTTGTGAAAAGCTCTAAATATCTTAAAGGGGCTGAATTCAGTTGCAGTCAGGAATTCATAAACTGAATTCATCTTCTTCCAGTTCGCGAAAGATTCAAGAATTCAAGAATTCAAAAATAACCATCACGGATTATTCATAATTCAAAAATTCAGAAACCGTTCCAGACTTTTGAGTTTTTTCAATTGAAAAAATACAAAAATTCAAAAACTGAAAATGTTACTTTTCTCAATTTCTTCAATTCGAAAAAGCGAAAAATTCTCTGAATTTATATCGAATCGGTGTGAACAATTCGTAGAATTCTAGTATTCAGGAGTTGAAAGAATACATACGTTGTAGTTGAGGGTAACAAATAAGAAGTCTCTTTGTAACCATAGTGCGGTGTGGGACGATGAGAGTGAGCCGCTACCAAAAATTGAGCTATGTGCTACAGTCCACTCTGATCCGTGGAATTCGTCGATTTTTTACTATTCTGAATACGTGAGTTCAAACCGATTCTATTCAAATTCACAGGATTTTGACCTTTCGAATTCAAGGAATTCATAAAAGATCACATTTTCAACTTTTCAATTTTTGTACTCTTTCGATTGAAAAAACTAAAGGGTACCTGTCAATTCGTAAATTGTGGAATCTTTGTCGAACTGGAAAAGATGAATTCAATTTCTGAATTCTTGAATTCTTTGAAGTAAGAAAAAGCTTAATTTTTATTTCTGAATACTTTACTAAAACTTTTCCTGAGAACGTACTGAACATTTCGGGACATTTTGTCCGCTAGTGATTTTGTAGCTCTGTACATAAATTTCTCTGTTATAAATTGCTCTGTATTGTAAATTTCCACTGCGTTATATAAAATTTCTATAACATTTCCATGCAATTGCCGTAAGTTCGCTCAGCTAGGGGGCATTGCAAAAGTATGAAAACTATCCCATGTATGGTTTGGTCAAAAGCTGCCGATCCCAGAGAGCGCCTATTGTGATGCTGATGAATAATTCTGACCACTACTCAATGCTGCAATCAATGATCAAAGTTCAAAAGTAACAATGGAAAACTTGAAATCAGTATTCCTTGCAATAATCGACAGATCTCACAACTGAGCGAGCATCAGAGTGCTTTTTGTGGTTCTTTCCTGAAAACTAGAAGAACAACCGACTGTCCACATGCAGCCATTCTAAATGTCTACTTTAATTGAGCTTTCACTCTTCGAATGTCGCTCTCAGTGGTTACCATCTGTGGATGCGTTGTTGCAAGCGACTTGCGTCTTATTGTTGCTGCTTTGTTATGATATTCTAATGCGGATTCCCAAGTACGAGTTGCTTCATGCACGAGCCCCATATTACGGTATGTGTCGGCGATATCACGGTGATCGGGTGGAAGAGCTTTTACTCTGATTTTCAATGCTTTTTCATAATTCATCAAAGCTAAATCATATTCACCTTTGTTCAGCTGCACAATACCGATATTGTTATATGTGTCGGCGATATGAGGGTGATCGGGTGGAAGAGCTTTTACACTGATTTTCAATGCTTTGTCATAATTCATCAAAGCTAAATCATATTCACTTTTGTCATCTTGTACATTAGCGATATTGCTATATGCGCCGGCTATATGAAGGTGATCGGGTGGAAGAGCTTTTACTCTGATTTTCAATGCTTTGTCATAATTCATCAAAGCTAAATCATATTCTCTTTTGTTCTGGTGTACACCAGCGATATTGTTATATGTGTCGGCGATATGAGGGTGATCCGGTGGAAGAGCTTTTACTCTGATTTTCAGTGCTTTGCCATAATTTATCAAAGCTAAATCATGTTCACCTTTGTTTTGGTGTACACCAGCGATATTGTTATATGTTTGGGCGATATCAGGGTGATCGGGTGGAAGAGCTTTTACTCTGATTTTCAATGCTTTTTCCATATTTATCAAAGCTAAATCATGTTCACCTTTATCAGCTTGTACAATGGCGATATTGTTGTATGTTTGGGCGATATGAAGGTGATTGGGTGGAAGAATTTTTAAGAAGATTTTCAATGCTTTTTCATAATTCATCAAAGCTAAATCATATTCACTTTTGTACCACTGCACAAGACCGATATTGTTATAGGTTTCGGCGATATCAGGATGATCGGGTGGAAGGGCTTTTAAGAATATTTTCAATGCTTTATCGTAATTGACCAAAGCTAAAGCATATTCACCCTTCTCGCTGGCAACATTACCCAGTCCTACGTAACAGTAAGGAATGACGGAATCGGCCACTGTCAGCTCATTTAACAACCGTTGATAATACTTTTCGGCCTTGTCCAAGTCACCCATTACACGGAACAAATTTCCAAGTGAAATGAGAGTGGTTTCACTCCCCATTTCTTTCTTCATATGGTCAAACACTTGTTTCAGATCATGGTCATCTTCGTTGCGTAAATCTAAATCAGCCACCCAGATTTGCTGTTCTTTGTCAAAGTGAACACTTTCAAGTCGAAAGATCGAACCGAGCATAATCAGAATTTCTTCCTCACCAGGGAAATAACTCAGTCGAGAAATATTGGCAAACGGTTTTGCTTTTATTCGACTCTCAACTTTGATTTTGAAGAGAACACATTCATACTGAACTTCACACTGAGCACTTTGAGCAAATTCAAGTGCCTTGTTCCGACTACGAGTTGTGGATAGAAAGGAGTTTATCGAGATGAATTCGCCAATACTTGAACGAATGCGAGCAAGTTCATCTTTTGACATCACTTGACCTCGATATAATCGACTGACGTTTGTGTTTGACGATTCTTTGATGAGCTGGTTGTGAATGTCGACGATTAGAAATCGAAGCGCGAAGAGAATGTCGATGTTCTGAACTCGAAGTGCTTTGTTCAGCATCTTGTAGAGAAAGCAGTCTCGAGTGTACCAACGTAGAGCATCAGACGGTTTGTATGTTTGATGAAATTCACGAATAATCTTAAGGTCTGCATCATTGCCTCGATAGTGTTCGTTGCAGATCTGTACAAGTTCATCTTTCGATGTTTGTGAATGTTTCATTCGGAGTAGAACTTCGATAAACAGCTGAAACCACATGAATGAGCTGTTGTCTGATTTGAGATTTGTGTGTGTTCTATCGTAAATGCTGATTGAGATCGAATTCTCTTCTTCCTCTCGTTTCGCCTGATCTTTGCATATTGTCTCGACGAGCTCGTTTAGCCCAACAATTACACCTCTGATCTAGAAAAGCGCCAGAACGTACCAGAATTGTGCAGGAGTCTAAGGAGTCCATGGAGTTCCATGACTTGTTTCGTGTTTTTTTGCAGTAAAACTCTGGTTAGAACATAGTACCACCTCCAGACTAGAAGCGGTTTTTGGTTTAGAAGCATCCATCGTTTAATCACGCCTTCGCTAACTCACACATCTACAACCAGATTGTAGAGACGAAAAGATTTTTTTCAGAATTTCAAAGTGTTTCTTGCCGACTTGTATGGAATCTTTCAAAGACAAGGCTGCCATGCAATATCGAGGCAATCTCGAGAGGGAAAGAGCACAGTCCGCATTCGGAATACCCCGTGAAACTCCGCTCACTTTGTCACACCCCTGGCACTGGGTGGAGCCGAAAAATACTTCATAAACGTCTTTTAGATGAAACCTTTTCATACTTTGTGCGAATTGCGATAGAACCTGCAAGGTTCTACCAAGGTGACTGATCCATTTTAAGTGAAAACCATTCGACATTTCGGAGAAAAGAGATCCGTCGATTTAAAATGGTTCAATGTCGAACCATCTTGTTTTAACCGAATTATTACGTCCATGTGACTTTTTGACCTGACAATACAAGCGAAAGTATTGTATTCAATACAAGAAAAAAGCATATCATTTTATCAAACATTCAACTCTTTCCTGACTCTTGGATAAAATATTATCTGTCGTTTGTTTCCAACATCGCGCATAAAGCTTACCTGTTGTAAGTAACTAAAGTAAATAGTTGACGGCTTAATTTGCACTCTGTCAAATGTACTGTATATATTTATAAATACTTAATTCCTTATTCTTAATTTCCTTTTGATAAATTAGTCATTTTTAATTAATTAATAAATGTTTTTACTGTTTTAAATGTATTGCGTATTGTTATCTCAATATCATTTAACGTTAAATTAGAAAAATTATTATTGTTTGTCAAATTAAATGGTTCTTTTGAATATTTATGTGGAATAGGAAAAAAAATATCATCAGGTTTAATTTGACTTAAAACTGATAATTGAGTAGCAAGATTTAAAAAACATTAACTGTAAAACTCACCATTGTTCAACACATAGCGCTCATTGCTCTTGAATTACGAAATGTCGTTTCACGACCTTGTGAACTGAACAAGTATATATTATTTAATGTATAATCTAGTGGTTTATGGCCTAACACTATTAAAATAATAAACAATAAACAAAAAACTGTTTAATTCGATAGAATATTGAGCAGCTTTTGTTATCAAATATTCATACTTTTTCTATCTTGATAACTTTTCTTTCATCAAATAAAATTTCAACTAAAGCCACCAAAATCTGTAAACAAATATTACAATCCATGCATAATATAATCGATTCAAAATATTCCGATTATTATCAACATAGGCTTTAATTATATAATTCAATAATTGTAAATAAACGGAGGCCGATTGAGCTTTTGGAGCTATATCTAATATATCCAATATATTTTGAGATGATGTTTTAACACAAGAATTGAAATATCATCTGTCCTTACGATACAAATCTGATTGAACAAAACAATGTCGGACTTTTGAATTATTATTAATTATTTGTTCTTAATGTTTTAATTCAATCATTTGACCACCTATTCTCTTTTGCGTTTTATTTGATAACAATCGATTACGTAATTTAATACAAAGATGTATTGGACATAAGTATCCAAGATTCTGGTATATTAATTGTAAATTCTTTGACTATTTGATATTTTTTAACATTTGGCGAATCAGCAGAAAAAACACAGACTAATCTCAATGAACGGAGATACTTTCCGTCACAATCTAAACAATTGACGGAGACATACAACACTTCATATTTAAACAAATCGAGAGAAACTGATAAACTCTAGCAGATTCAGCAAATAAACAATACCAACACCCACAAGGATAATCGTATCTGTTGAAAGGTGTAAACCACAAACACCTTTTGTTAAACACTGCTGACGTTGCAAATTATTTGATATACAATCTATTAAATCTGGTAAAATCTAACACATATTATTCTTCATATTATTATGTCTGTTATTATCGAGTATTTGATAATAGTATATTACTGATTTTAATAATGGATATCTATCAATCAAATCAATTGTTTGCTTATTATTATCATTCTTGTTGTTTGTATTACTTTCTGTTCGTTGTTGATTTTTATGTTTCAATATATTCATCAAATATTCTAATCCATTCTTAATACCAATTGCAATACTAAATGTTTTATTTGCTTATTCATAACATGAGTTTCATTTTAAATCAATAAAATTTATCTGAATACAATCATAATGAAATAATTCAAATACATGTTCTGTACGTAATAATGGTGGAACACAATGTATGGATTGTATCTTTAAAACATCTTCACCGTTCATTCTAAAGGATATCTCTTTAAACGAAAGTCTAATCTTTTACTGATTTTAAAGTGAACAGTTCACGGTTTACATTCTCTGTTTTAAGTGTTTCCAACTAGGCTATAAAATAGCAAATGTACAAATCGAAATCAAACGTCACCGAGTGTATAAAATTTTAGATAAAAACAGACTTCAAGAATAACAGCTGTGTGAATAAACAATGAAAAGAGAGAGATTGTTTATGAATTACGACCTTTTTTCAAAATTTAAATTTTGTTGAATTTGATCTAAATTTTCTCTTTTGCGATGGTGCTGTTGTTGATGGTGGTGGCTGTGGTGCAATACTATTATCGTCATCACCCTCATCAAGATTATCATTAATATTACCGTTTGATGCAGCTGTTGTTATCGATGTTAATACTGAGGTTGAACTTTGTTTCTTATTTTCTTCTAAATATTTTTCTTTATCATTATACAAGATTTGCTTTGAATATGATTATAATAATTTGTTAACCGATGAAACTGACAATTTTTGTATAATTTCTATGATGTTAAACAACTACATATATTCCTGACTTCATATACATCTTTAACATTTGTTAGCGGTAATACTTGAGCTTTTTTGGAATTTACTTGGGATCATCTACTTCTAATAAATGTTTATTTCTTTTATACCATAAATTTAATGTTTTAACAAGAAATTTACGATGAGCAGCTTCTGTTGACGCTGTTGTTCGTGATGATGATTGTACACTACTACGTATACCACCTTTAACAATCATAATTAATGCTATAATTGTTTACGAAGTTAATAATTTAGTTAAAAGTCTTTGAACCTGTCCCTTCGTATTTATAAATAAATATAAACTAAAAAATCATGTTAACATTGTTTTTCAAATTTTGGAAAAATTATTATAATTTTAGATTGTGGATCTATAAAATAATTCGTTTCTAACTACTGCGGATGATATGTTAACATATCAAAACGTTTAGTTATATTTATTAATAAATACGAAGGGAGAAGTTCAAAGACTTTTAACCAAACCTTTAACAATGAATCTATTATTATCTAATCTAAATGTAATTCTACTTCTTATATCGGCGATTTTTTGACAATCGATATTTAATAAGATATTTCTTACATCAAAAACATCGTCTGTATTTAACAATGGTAGAATACTGTGTATAGCTTGAATTTTCAACAAATCGGCAATATCTTCGCTAATCGAATCACTAACCACATCATAAAACTTTTGATTATTATATATTGTAACATTAATAGGAAGAATATTTGTATCAACATAAATTTTGGAAGAAGTCATTTTATGCACGTTGGGTTAAAATTAGTTATTCACTATACGATCGCTTTTTCAAAAGTAAAATTTAGTTATCTTCGAAGTTTACTTCCAACATGCAGTCAGAAAGAACAATAGACGACAAAAAATCTTCTTTTTTCTATCCAGGAGAAGAACTTATGTGTAGTTTGAAACCTAGGCCTATAAGAAAGAACTAGTACAAACATTCAGTCACATTTTTTGGACTACACAGTATGTCTGAATGTCATGTCTGCCAAGAATGATGATGATGATGATGACAATTGTGCGTATGTTTCAAACATCGAAGAATTTACACCATTTATTCCGATGACACTTCGGACACGCCGATGGCATACCAGACTGCCCACTTACTCCGCGAAGTGCCGAAGCGAGCGATTTCTTCCTTGGACAACCTTCTGGGTTCTGAAGATCACTAACTTTTGTTTCTGCCAGTCTAAGAGGTTGGAACTAACGAAAAGAACGATCCACCACAGAACCATCTCGGAAGAGAAATGGATAGCTTTAATAACAGTACCACACATCTGCTCACTTGGCTCACAAACACGTGTTAGAGAAGTTGAAGAAATGGAAGAGAACGTTTGCTTCCCTCTTCAAGTGTTTGGTGCTCTGAAGAAAACTTCTTTTACCTTGTTATAAGATTTTGCCCATCTTTCATTCGTTATTTTGTCCATGCAGTAGACGTAAATGGCGCTTAACTGGGGTAAATCGTGAACTCTCGGGACAATCTCTCTGCCTAATCGACCAGATACGATTAGAACAATCTTTTCATCTTTCCTTTCTCGAATATATTCTTCACACTCATTTCCACTTTCAAATGTCAGTAAACAGTTGATGGATCGTCGCAATTGTGTTTGTGTTTCTAAATTGTCTTTGTTTTTATTCACATTCTGATCAAGCCATAAGAGAGCAAATGTTTCTAGATTCTGTCCTTGTTTGTGACTCTGTTGTTCAATGTTTGTGTTTGTCCATTTTGTGGGTTGTGGGTTGCTTGACGCCATCGACGCTAGAAGGAAGAGCTTTCGTGAATGTCAAAGCAGATAATGATGGTAAATGATAGTTGCATCTCTTGTGATCTAATCAAGACAAACAATCTTTGCTTTTGTGATGCTTACATGCTTGCATCAAAAGTTCTAGTTTTACTTGTTTAGACTGATATTTACTCACAACAATCAGTGCAACGTATACCTTTATGAAGACAAAATTCTTTACGAACACATGAAACAAGAAGAAGAACGTATTCTGTTAGAAGTTTTCTGTTGACATAGTTGAAGATAAGAGAAATACATTGCTTTTTCTAGGGAGGGGATGTAACAGAGTCAAGGTACATACAGAGTTCTTATCTTTTCACTCCCACTATCACCAACCTGTTTGCGCAATTTTTGAAGTGTAAAGAAATGGACAAAGTTGACGAATTTTTCTCCCACAATATTTCACCTCTCTTTTCTATTCTACCATTCAACGTTATGTTTGCTTGTTTGATCAAAATAATTTTCATCGTTTTGGCAATACAATAACGTCTTGAGTCATTAGAGCAAGAACAACAGATACGATAGAAGGTTTGCACTCTCGACAGGCTCACGACTCGTATGTATATATCAAAATCCTAGAATTAGTTCTAGTTTAACTTAATATAAAATTTGGAAGAGGAAAGTTTAGATAAGAAAGGTTCCTTTATTCATGTTTTTAAGTGGCATTACTTTGACACCACTTTCACGTCAGTGTATATTCGCGTCTAATATTCACATCTTTTCTTTTGCTGCTGCTTTTTCACTCATTTTCCTTTACTTAGCTATAATAAATCATTTCTATGCCATAAAACAGGCTAATTCAGCACCTTTACACTTGAAATTTATTTTAGTGTAATACAAGTATCGGTGCATATTACTTTCTGTTTTTGATGAATGCATCTCCCAGTTTTAGTTGCGAATATATTGAGTTAGTTTTCTATAGTCAGTTTTAAATGCAACAGCAGAAAGAAACCCAATATAAATTCAGACTTTTCTCTGTCCCGCGCACATGGAGAGACGAGACGGAAATCAGAGCTGCCCGCAGGCTATACATGCAAGCAGTTTACGAATAACTGAGCATGACATGTAAATTACATAAAGCTAGAAAAAGTTATGACCCACTTAAAATTTCTGTAACGACTTGTGTCATACTATACACAATTCAAGTTCACGTAGAACTAAAATATAGTAATCTTTTTATCAGTTCTCGGCGAACTTGTATGCTATACATATATATCAAAAATATATATATAAGATGCAAGGAGGGAGGATGCCTCTAGATGCCAAAGATACCCTAGATATCTTAGGTATCACAGATACAAAAAAATGACAAAGAATGAGTTCGCAGCGAACTCAAATTATGTATGACCTCACGTGTACAGCTCAATTTAAACTGTGCCGATAACATGTTCACTAGTTTCTTGATATTTCAACCGATAGGGTAAACGGAATCAATGTATGTTTAAAAAAGGGGTATATGCACTATGGGATGTAGGGAGTTGCGGGGTAGGTGGTCCGCACGCATCATGAAAACTCATTTCATACTACCACTTCTAGTTGGAAAATGAGTTTTGCTTTTAAAAGCAAAATAATTAGAAACATCGGTCATTTTTCTCTACAATCGCAACTCCCATGAAAATTTTTAGATGATCCACTGAATGAATGGCTACTAATTGTAGACAAGCTCAACACTTTATCATAAGAGTGACAACTATACACTATTAACACAAAGTAACGAATAGTGCGATGAACGCGAAATCGCTACACTCTGTTTTCATCCCAAAACTTTTACTTTAACGAATGCAAGGACACTTCTCCTGTAGTAAAACGATGTTTCTTATTATTTCTCTAAATATCAACTATAAAATACCGTGCCATACGCATCGTCAAAATCGGCCGATGCCTCTGAGGATTTCCTTCAAAAAACGATAATGTCGATATCGCCTCTTATATCAAACTGATTTCCAGTAGAAATAAAAAACATTCGCATTCGAGCCTAAATTAATTTAAACTACT